TATATATATATATATATATATATATATATATATATATATATATATATATATATATATATATACACCTTAAGAATATATACTTTAGGAAACTGAAAATATGATAATTTACTCTTTAGTTTCATCAAAGGTTCTAAATTGAAACTTGTAAATGTGTGATGAAGGCTTGAAAATTTTGTGAATTGCACTTTTACAATTTTTTATTTGCATTTTCATTGCTGTATGGTTGCAAAACTGTAACTTTAAGAAATACATTATATATATATATATATATATATATATATATATATATATATATATATATATATATATATATATATATATATATATACTGTATATATACATATGTATATATATATGATGTCTGATATCACTTCTATGTAGGAAATAACTACCGGTACAAGGAATAATTATAAATCTCTAGTTGCTTTACATTTGCAAATTCAGACTACTACACACTAAAATTAGTTATCGTATGCCATATAAACCTTGCTTTTTTTCCCTCTATATATTGTTAATAGCTGCCAGGTAAAGAGCAAACCTTGGAACTGACAGAGGACAAATTAAGGTGGATTTTTCAATTAAAAGCCTTCTCGACATATAGCACAGATGTTTCATTTAAAAATGTTCCTTTCTTCTTTTCTTCCCTGTTTTTGTGCACTACTCAGTAATCACTCCCGGCCTCTAAAAGCTTCCATTGTAACAGTGATTTCAACTACTTTTCCTTTTTGTGTGCAGCAGATGGGTACTCGTTGAGTGGATCAAATTGTCCCGCTGAGAACCTGGTGATGATTCACCATCTGATTTCCTAAGTACAAAAACAACTGCTGCTGGCCAGACATGCATCCATTTATCAGCAAAAACCACTGTCTGTTGGGAAAATGGTTTGAGGCTTGACCTACTTCTCATCCTTTAAATTACAGCGTCTGAACTCTGATTTCTTTCCCCTAACAAAGCCAGCACCAAAAGTTTCCTACTAAATTAACCTCTTTCTGTTTCATTTGTGACTACGGAATCACTCTGTACAACACTGTTTGTGATGGCATAAGTACGGTTTTGCAAGAAATGGCAACCTGTCTGAGTTCGATGTAACTCAGACAGATTTGTAAAAGTCTGTAATATTTCTTATTTAACTGATAAATCTGGGGTTAGGAAGTGAAGTTTTTTTTCCCCAGTGTTTCACTTTCTTTACACTGTCACAAATACAGCACAACCAAATTCAGTCTATGCATTTAACCTATTCCCTTGGGGAGCAGTGGGCTGTCATTTTCAGTGCCCAGGGAGCAGTGTGGGGTTAGGGTATTGCTCAGGGACCCAGTCTGGCAGTCTGTGTGAGTGGGTTTCGAACTGACAACCTAAGGATTCCAAGCTCTATGCCCTAACTAGAATCAGAA